CCCATTAGCTCCCCGTTCTACCCCTCCTCCTCCTCTCCATTGCCGTCCCTACGTTTTCGCCCTGCTGGCCTCTAGCCTTCCGCCATGCCCCGTCAAAGCCCATTTTTTTCTCACTTAATTCCTCTCGGACGAAGCGAGCACCGAGGCTTTCGCGATCGTGCCCCGTGGTCGGCGTGAAAAACCGGGCGAATTTCCACGACGAAAAAGGGTTCCATTAATATCTATTAGCGAGCCGTGCTCGACATCGGCCGGATTTATACACCACCCTCCGACCCCGTCCTCTCTCTCTCTCTCTCTCTTCCCCTCTCTTTCTCTTTCTATACTCTCTGCTCACTCGAAATCTCTTCTCGAAGCTCCTCTTCGTCGGCATATCGTCGAAGAAGAGAAGGAAAGAGAAGGGTGAGCGTGAACGGCAAGGGAGTCGGGAGGAATTCTGAAATATGAGACGTCGTTTGTTTCCATTAATTAACGGCCGCACGCTGGTGAGTGTGCCAGATGCTGAAACCGATACATTTCCCGGATTATCAATATTCCGGCAACAAACGCGAGGCCTCGCGCGTTCACTGTGAACGGTTTTCACTTTCGAGCTCGTACACGCCACCAGCAGCTAGGTGAGAGGGATTTCGGTGCTTCGCGGTATACTACTCTCCGGCTTCTATTTCTGCACTTTTGGCCACAGATTGAGTGGAAAGGTTTACAAGGCACGCTCGAGAAATCCGTAATGGCGTTTTCATTACAATTACCGCGGGCGAGACGGGTCCCTTTTTAAATTCAAGAGCTTCGAACGAATAAAGATCGTCTAATTGCAATTTTATTTCAAGTACGGAGACACACCAGGTACTGTGACGTATTTATTATCAATTTGTCGCGCGTAATGATTAATATTTAAAGAAACGTCAAGGAGCGCGCGTTCAGTTCAAAAGTGTGCGACATTGTATATTTTTAATCCACCTTCGATGTGCGATCTCTTTTGTCCCCTCTCTCCTTTTTTCTCCCTTCATCTCGCTCGTTTCAAACGCTAGGTAAATGTGATCGCCATAGGTATTTCCACTGACGCGTCTTATTCACCGGCCGGGCAAAAAGGATTGTTTTCGTCGCTTTATTTCAATCCTCTTATCAAAGCGACTGCGCTTCCAATTTTCCCGGCGCTTTCATGCACTTTGAGCGATGCGCTTAATTCACCGAATAAACGCCTCCGCGTTTTTTCTTCCACACGGTCGCGCGCTCGTAATTTGTTCGGAAAAAAACGAGCCTACGAATCGACCGTGTAGAGACCAAAAAGCGACGGTGACTCGTGAAACGTGTTCGAATTCAAAGAGCTCGTAATTAGTCGACGCGAGCATGTTGTAACAATCGTCACCCAACTGAAGTTTCACTCTCACCCCCACCCTCTGCGCTCGTCCGCGCTCCGAAACCAGACGATCTCGAATTTCTTTCTGCTCGGCTCATGTCCAACAAGATGATGAGACTCGGGAAACAAACGCTAATTGACAAATATAATGGGCGTTGAGCCGACAAACCCTCGCGACATAATGATTATCTGTCAATGTTCCTCGTATGAAGTAGCGACGTTCGATAAGTATTCGAGTGCTTGTCAACTTGTCTTCTCGTGTTCACGCTAAAACCTTTGCATTCAGGATTAATATGCGCTAATATATGCTACCCCGTTAAAAGTTCCAACTGATATTTCCAATAGCGAAGTATAATATTTATATGTATGCACGTGTAAATATATGTAATATCTCAGAGAAAAAATGGCTTTAAATCAATGATGGTTATTCTCATATATAAGCAAGAATATTACAATATTTTTCGAAGATTTTTAATCTTGAATCGAATGCAAGTAATATTTGCAACAATACAAATTTAATGATATCAAGACTGAAAATCTTCAAAGAAGATTATAATATTCTTGCTTGTATATGAGAATATCTGTCATTGACGTAAGACTAATTATCCCGTGGACTTTCGGCGAATTAAAAATAAATGGCATGAAAAGGAATATTTTTAAGAAATTTATTTAATCCGTGTGTATGAAGAAATGTAAAGCACGAAATTTCAAATAGTATCGTACGTATTGTCAGCACTGTCGAAAAAGATCATAACATTTTCCGTCCATTTTCTACTCTGAAATATTATATTGTCTACGAGCGATCATTTTTCAGTGCATTTGCTGCGCGATGAAATAATACAAGAATAGAGTACACTGATATATTGATGTAAACTTTAATGCACACAGGCAACAAGCAGTGGAGTTGATAATCCTCTTGCGTAACATTTGTTCCCACGTAAACTAAGTTAACGTAGAAATTCGCGAATATCGTCGGGAAAACGTGGAAACATTTGTTGAGCTGTGAAGTGATAATCACATTATTATTACAACGGACAAAATAATAAAGTCTCAAATAAACTTTCCTCCGGTGGTTCGATTGATTGAAAATCGATTTGAAAAGACACAAAATTCTGTGCTGAATTTCACCACTTCATATCGACGATTGATACTTTATTTTATGATGAGCATTCTTATTAAAAGGTGTGTCCCATTAATTGAAAATCATATCAGCCGTGAAAGTGACTTGATCGACCAGCTGAGTGACAAAGAGGGAACGAGAAGTTCACACGACGTAGAAATTACTGTAGAGCTTCTCATTGTGACTAATGTGTTCTTAATTGCCTGTTTTACATTTTGCACGCGCCAGCGTGAGACTTCTTTTTTTTGCTAGTTGAAATTAATTTGTGATTAGCATACCAACTTCGCGCAACGCTCACGTACTTCATAATAACAGTAGAAGCAAAAATACTCGCGCTCGCGATCGTTACGTAACGCATGCTGTTTGCGTGTCACTGAATACGAGTAATTATACAGAACGTCATATCCGACCTATATCTTATAATAACGTTTCTCATATACGAAGATTTCACGAGAGGCAGCTTGATTGTGTCTGCGACATGGATATTTAATCGCAGAATTGACACGTAGTGAATTAACCGATAAAAAATATGCATTTATATTTTGGAAAGTAATTCTGGAAGAGAACACGCGAACACGGAGAAGAAGAGAGAGAAATCTTATTAAAGAAATTAATCTCTTTTTTTCAGACGCGCACACACATATATACACACGCACAATCGGACAAAAGTCGAAGCTGCGAGCCGTCGAGGCATGTATTATGCATTTCCTCAGCATCGAAAAGTCATTTATCTCCGTAGAATAATACATAATAATGAACGTCTTCGTTAAGATGTCATAACTGGTGCTTCTAAAAATCGCGATGCCGCATTCATTTCCGGACATGGGTTCCTTCGACGAGACGCTTCCGCGGCTCCCAATTCTACGAGTTTGCCTATCATCCGGTTGCATCTCTTAAACTTATTTAAGTTTCCGCCATATTTTACCCCAGGTCGGGCGATACCTCGAAGAACAGCGCTCGCGGTGAAATCTTACCGGCTATAGTTACCGCTCTCGTGGACCATCCGCGCCGAAAACCCGCGTAATCTTCGAAAGTGTCCGGGCGCTCGCGCGATCCTGGGAACGCGATGCAGGCAGCGATAAGGGAAACGACGCGGGAAATAAAAAGAGAAATTTTGTGTTTCGTCAAATCCCACCGTTAGGATCGATCCTCGAATAATCCAGCTCGAACGCAATTTCGTATACGATACGCGAATCCGATTTAATATCGGACACGGCCCTTCTCGCCCGCAAGTGTGAAATGTATAATCGGATATCGTACCTATAGCCGCACTACGATCAATTAATACGTTCTTCTTCTGCGATTCTTTTTCACGTATAGATTAAGATTATTCGGTCCGCGGTGTCCGATCTTCGCGATTTTAATAAAACTTTAATTTACCCGAGGTTATATATATACACGAAGGATCCCTCGACGTTCTCCGAGAATATCTGAATAATGAATGTCCTCTCACGAACTTGTCGATATTCCACGTCGAACATTAACGTATCACCGAATTAGGTTTTAAGGCTAAAAATGGATTATAACGGATTTCTCCTTTAAAAGGGTTGATTTGGCAAATCACCTAATGGCGGGATTTTGCGCTGAAACTTTACTCGAGATGAATAATGATCCCCTATTGAGCTCACGCGAAAATAGAACTTTTCAGGGGAAAATTTGTTATTGTCATTTCGTCGATAAACCGATACAATCGCGAATGCGAAAACCCACCGCGCGTTGCGCCTTGAATTTTTTGCGGCGCCATGGTTTCTTCACGCAGCGCGCACACGCGCGCGAGAGAGAGAGAGAGAGAGAGCGCGTACCGGTCGAGCGAGCTCACGAAGCTCGCGGGCTGTGAAAAGCGCAATCCCACGTCGGCGATCCTTCGTCAAATATCAAATAAATTTAGAGCAACAAATAATCAACACACGAAGCGCATATTTTGCCGCTATTCCGCGGGTAGGGCCATTCGAGCACCGATACTGTTTACCGCGAGTTCCGAGCGCGCGTCGGCAACGGTATACACGGCACCCAATCGTACTTCCGCTTTATACCGAGTGCTATTTTGGATGATTTATTGACGAGGCGCTTTCGTCGCTGCTAGCTCGATATCGACGTCCTCCCTTTTTTTTTTGCGTCCTCCCTACCGGGCGCTCGGAGAGCGAGGCTCTCGATCACCGGCAGCGTTTATCCTCGCTGCGCAGCCTTCGCCACACTCGCCTCTCCTCCCGTTTCCTCCTCCTCTTCTCTCGTTTCACTCTCTTTCTCTTTATTCCTCTGCCGCTTGGCAGAATCGTCTCTGTACCGTCACCCCGAGTGACAAGCCGTTGTCACTTCCTCCCCCTGCAGCCCGCTCGATCGGTCGGCTGCACATTTCGGCGTTCGGTCAGTTTTAAAAAGAGAGAAGAGGAGAGGAGGAAGCGAGAAAGGAAGCGAGAGGGAGGGAGATAGCGAGAGAGAACGGCGAAGAACGACAAATTCGCGGAGGGGCAGAGCAATGTAAAGCCGTATGATCGATAAACGACCCCTTTCGTTTTGTTTGTTTTGCAGATTCTACCGTGCCGGTGGCCCTTTGTCTGCTGATCGAGAAAGGACTGTCTGTGGTGAGTGAATTTTTCTTCCAAATATTTTGGTATACATATGTATAAGGTGTGTGCGAGCGGAAAGTGAGCAAATCCAATATCCGGGTAATCGACTGAACGATAGTCGCGCGATACCGCAGCTCGTCCGACAAGAGAGAGGTGTTACATTGTAATTTATTGCCCTTAATAGCATCGGCGCTTCCGTATCGTATCGATTGGAAATAAAAGAATCGCCGGAGTCGCATTAGTATACGGCTTTGTAAAATTTCGCGTGCGATTAATTTCGCGCTCTCTTTATGCATTCGGCGAAATATGCCGCGTAATCCTTCGCATATTTTTATTAATGCATGCTGATAGCGCGATTTTATGCTAAGCGGCGCGCGGACGCGTATCTTGCAAAGTTTTTATTGTTGACAAAAAACTACTGAGGGAGAAAATTTACCGTATCCAGGAGAAAGAGTGTTCCACTTTTCTTCTCTTATAATGTTTATCATCATAATGCTTTCTGTAATTGGAAATAATGTCCGCTAATGTTTTTAGTCCTTAGTATCTTTTAAAGTGTGCTATTTATTTTGCTGCGTATAGTACGTTACACCTCGCTATTATTTCGTGTAATAAATGAAGTCCCTGGGTGATTGAGGGCGAGAAAGAAAATTCTCACCTTGAAGAGAAGATACTCCCTCGTCTGTGTGCTTTTTCGCTTCTTGCCGTTCACGCGCGCGTCGAGACATCGAAGAGCAACCGTGTAAAAAATAAAGAGAAAGACAAAGTCAAAGAGAAATAAACACGAGGTACCGGGAGACACATCGCGCACTTTTCAACTCCGACTCTAACCGTTTTTCTCTCTCCTTTTCTCTCTATAAAAAAGAAAAACGAGGAACTAAACTAATAATGATATGGTGGACTCGCGGTGAGAGACTTTCTACAACTGCGGAGAAAAAGTGAAGAAAGACTATCGGGAGAAACGCTTTGTTTCTTCTCGTGATCTCGCTCAATCCTTTGTATCGATGAGCTGTCGAGTCTACCTCTGTAAAACATCCTAAAACGTTACATCGTTCCCCGGCTTATCTTCGCGACGATTAAGCGGATATATCCTGTTTCACGTGTTGTCCGGTTCTGTCATACGGGTTTAAGGAGATAAATTTTTAAAATATAGTAATCCTGTTTATTAGTAATCTGCGTCGATCCAATGCAGAAATAACACCGATTCGTCTATACGGATACCAGTGAGAAAGATTTGTGATAAAACGAAACGATACGAAAGACGATATATAAAACGAAACGACGTAAAAAAAACTGGTATCTCTGAATTATTATGAGATTTTACGTGCATGCGTATGTATTATTTGTTCATTAATAGGGCATTTTGCCTTCTCGGGCCACTAATCCCTTGTCTTTATTCAAAAAGGTCCTGTAGGAAAACTTTTAAAGCTATTGACATGAACTTTTTTTAAATATATTTAGATGTTATATATATATATAATCTTAGATATTATTAATATTTTTATAATGGTGCAGTATAATATCCCATGTTAATTATTGAGACGATTGTAGATGGTGATAGAGTAGAGACTGCCAATAAAAACACCCCCATCTCACGGAAGTGATTGAGAACCATCGCATGATTTGAATAAATAAACAATTTTCTCAATCAATACGAGTGTACCTATAAATGTACTCATAAAGTGGACTGTAACCAATAGTTTAACACAAACATGAACAAAATGGCGGTCTTTCAAAGATGAAACTTCAATTTTCAGTTAAAATTGCGACATTTATTTTGCAATAGCAAAACAATTATTACAGATATCGCTTTTATTGTAGCCGACCTTATGGAGAGACATGTTCTTTATGAGTATATCAAATTGGAAAATGATCTTTAATAGTTTAATAGTTTAATAAATTCTTTGCGCTATCACTTCGTCACGTTAGTTTGAAAAATGTTTCGAAAATAACGTGTTTCAAGTTTCAAGTTTAAAGTGCGTTTAAATATAGATTTTGATTACTTATACTTAGTAAGTTATCTCGGGGCCATAAAATAAATCTTCTATTTTCTCAAATAATTTCCCCAAATTTCCGTTAAGCTGGCTTTTCATCCTTCAACGTTATTTTCGCCTCCCGAAATTCGAAAAAGCATCGACGCTTGACAAACAGCTCTCAACCATTTGGCATCGCGTGTAATTATGAAAAATTTTATCTGCAGTCCGAGTTTTATCTATAGTATTTCCATAATCTTTAATAATGGTATCTTTCATTGAATATATAAACTGCTAAGCAGACAGCAATTTCAATTATGTTCGTTGCTGGAAAAATATGTTATGGAGAAAATGTCACATCGTAGCATCAAATCTCTCATTATTATTTAGAGTAGCCTTCGAGGCATCGTTCTGGTAAACCTTGAGAAGCTAGATCTTCGTAAATCGGTCGAAGGACGTTTTGCATCTTTTTGTTAAGAGATGAACGGTGATAATATTGATCTAAAGTTCTATCTGTGGTTTTCTGTCTGCGCACCGCTTCAATCTACGGTCTATAACTCTGACAATTTTTCGAATTTTCAATTAAAACTTCACAAAAGCATTCTCAAGGCTTCAGACTATCGAAATATGTAAAAACCAAAAAACCAATTTTTGGACCCGACAAAGTAAAATATCCCATTAAAAGTGGAATAAACTAGGTGTACGAATCAAATATCTGTGTGATCGAATCCAATCTTTGATAACATGTTCAAAGCTGAATCGAATCGAATATGAAATTTTTATGTCGATTATGGAATAGAATCTTTTTCATTTGAATGAGAATCGAATTCAAATTAGACTTTCCGGGATTTATATTACATGTTAATTTAAATATAATAAAATACTTTTCAATGATATTAAAAATCTTTCTTTAAATGGACTCAAACATTAATTCAAACGAAATGGAAGTGGAAATGAATTCATGGAAATGGGTTCAAAAATATTAATTATTTAGCAAAACAAACATTTTTACGCGCATCATTTTCTTAACAATAAAAAATAGCTGTGAGGAATTAATTTTGAATTTCAACGACCTATTCATTTATCATCTTCTGATACAAATGAAGCAATCGAAAGACGTGACCAATTTGAAATCGAACCGCCACTGACTCGAATTTATCGAACTACTCGAATTCGAGCCTCTTAGATTCGAGAACGAATTCGCATCAAGAGTGGTTCGACTCAGACGATTCGCATACCTCTGTAATAGACCTACATACGACGCTTTTGCGCGATAATTACGTCATCGAACAGCTCGATTCGGCGATAACGCCTTTATTACCACCCCGAAAGCCGCCGTGACGTCGTGAAACACCACTTAGCATCGATATAACGCGAATCATTGGCCGTAACACGACCGAAGTTCGCGGACAAATCAATTCGATCGCTTTGACGACTCCGCACGAGCGGCAGATAAGGGCGGCGATATTTTTGCCGGGTCGACGCGGCGGAAGTCGACGCGCGTGTGGTCGCCCATACATAGTGCTTTATCTGCACCGATAATACCGCACGGACCGACCGACCGATCGGGGAGGGTTTTAACGTCGAATCTCTCGCGCTGGCGCTCCCTTATCGCCGTGTCGTAAAGGTGATCGCTGGTCACGACGAAATGCCGCGGTCATCGTCGCAGCGTGACGTCGCCGGCCATCACGCGAATTAGCGGCGCTTTAACGGCGCCCGACCGCGCGTCGTGTCGTGTATTCCCTTACGGGAGAGACGTGTCCGCCAGTTTCCTCCGTGTCACGCAGTTACCTCGCCATGTAAATGCGCCGCCGACGGCGTCACGCCGCCCACGGCAATTCCGCGATCGAGCGTGTATCGAGAGATTGCCATGGATCAAGAAGCACGCGGCCGAATACGCCGGTTGTTTTATCATTCCGCACAATGGCACTCTCTCGACGGGGGGGGNGGGGGGGGGCAGAGAGAAAAGAGACGCGGAGAAGCATGAGAGATATCGCGATTTTCGCTCGGCAACCGCGCGCGGTTTTCCATACGTCGACGAAGGTAGCGCATTTTTTTCCTTCTTTCCGCCCAATTCCGCCACGTTTCCGAGCGCGCGCGACCACCACAAAATAAAAATCCCTGAATAGAAACTAGACGGCGAAATTAGAGATGAATAATTGGGACGAATGCGGCGCACACGCACGTTAATGCATCAGTTCGCGCTCACGCGTTAATATTCCATATGGAGGAATATGTATTCGCGTGGGGTCCGCGCATACGTGGACTACTTAACACGATGTATAATCAGCTTGATACGAGCCACGATGCCTGGTCAAGCGCCCAACTCGATTTGCCCGGCTTCCTTTTCTGAAATGAAAACCACCACCCTCGTTGACGCGAACGCCGATGATACCGGCGCACGTAATAATTACCACTCGCTGATTAATCGCTGGCCGCTAATCGACTAATAATTCGGCTAATGACGAGCGCATAATTACAACGCTGTATGGATAATCCGACCGACGCGAGGCACACGGGTCTCGTATGAATAATATGTAACAAATTAATACTCTCACCGAGCAAACCGCGCGCGCGGGTAACTTATGCTCGCATTTTCGTATGCATTTGCCGGCCATTTACGCGATCCCGCTTACGTCCGGATGAAATTGTCGGGTTTTATTATGCGACCCGCTCTCTCTCTCTCTCTCTCTCTCTCGTGCAATTCATCCCGCTCGATAATTTAGCGCGCGCGGGACTATCTGGTGCCGTGAAAACTTATCGGACACGTTCGCAAGTTGAATTTTTTAACCGTCATGTCAACCGTGAGGACGATATGCGGCGCGCTGCTGGCGAAGATACGGCGATGACTTCGATGATAAACGTATCCATTTTCGGGATATAATGTCCCGACTTTATTCCGCGTTCACGCGTTTCCCCGCTTATCTCCGGCAAGGAAGATAACGCGGGCAAACATTCCGTACAGCCGTACTAGAGGAAATCATTTTTGTTTATCAATTTAACGCGCGCGGTGGCATTGCGCAAAGTGGACAATTTCAACGGCGCTTTAATAATACGGACGTTGGTAAAGTGCGATTAACGTTATCAATTCGTGGCAAAGGTTCCGCCGTTATCCGTTAAGTTTCGTCTCTGTGAGACGCACGTTGATGAATTCTCGTCTCTAATCCCGCCGGTATTAATTCCCACGTCGCTACATCCGCTTTAGACATTATCAAAGAATCGGAAGAATTACGCGTTAATCTTGTTCCACCGCTGCACGGGTATCCTTTGTGCGCAGAATCGTGTGACGTACGTTTCATAAATATTTAAGCGTGCAATTTGTCAGACTCCTCGTACCAAATTCACAATATTCTTTTGAACTTCATAATTAGGTCAAGCGCTCTGTAAATATTTGATCTGGCCGAAAAGTATTGCGTTCTTTCCACTTCCCAGCAGTTATAAAAGTGTTGCTGAGTGACCTCTAATTGTAAATAAATTTTCACACTTAACTGCATTTTCTCAACCATATATTTTATTAAAAAAAAAAGTTGTATAATTATATTATATGATTATAAATAATTGTTTCTATTTTTGTTCTAGATTTTATTTTCTTTAAATTACACTGTCACGAATCATATGTTTTGTTCATAAATAATATTTTTATTTGCATTTTATTTTATTTGTATTTTATTATGTCGTACAGACATTATAATAACAAATTATATAAAAAGTTCGTGAAAGTTACTTTCCGTAAAACAATTTATTTTTAACCTTGATCATCTTACCCACACATAAGGGCAAGATGACGAAGTTGACACGTTCCTAAAAAATTTAAATTAATCAAAATTCCAATTTATTTATAAACTTTTCAATTTTTCACGCAGATGATAAGCAAGGCTTTAGCCACTCAGAACAAAAATTGACCATTATTTTTATGTTACTACGGAAATGAAGAAAAATCGACAAACCTTAAGGTTGTCATCTTATCACTCTTTCTCCTATATATCTGGTAATTATATGTTATGACTAGGGGGAGCATTGTAAATTGTGGGCTTTCTTCATTTTCCCCCGCATTTTCTAGAAGAAGAAAAAGAAGAAAAAAAAATAAGATCGCGTAGCTCATTAATTACTGCAGGTTTCGGCAGACAACGCTCTTTCGACGGAGGAATTTCTTCTTAACGATCCCCCCGAAGATCTCGCGCATTCTTCACCGGCTGAATTTCCGGAAAGCCGTAAAACTGCATTCTTTATGAAATCTACCGTTCGCCTTGAGCTAATTAATTCAAGTACAAAACTTGGCGAAGTGCGAGGAAGCAAACGAAGGGAGAGAGAGAGAGAGAGAGAGAAAGAGCTCGTTTTTGCAATCGAGGCTGTACAGTACGTGACGCAGAAGCGAAATATTTTCCGGACGAACGAATGTTTCACCGCGAACATCGGCGTTTGTTTCCGCGCCATAATAACTCGCCGGTGATAAATCACGCTCATGCGATACTTTGTCAAACCGGCCCGACAGCGCGTTTAAATAATTAACCTTTTGTCCCGGACGGGTGTGTAATTTTTTATTGAATCCTATAACAGGCGCGGCCGACTGCGCGATCTCACGAATGAAATACCGCGATTCAATTTTGTGAGCGCTGTGTGACGACGACCGTGATTTATACGCTTCTTTGTAACGCACTTTGTTCGGGTAATTAATCTCGTAGTAAGCTCGCGTTTCGAATATTCGCAGCAATTTCATTCAGGCTCCTGATTTATTCCATCCTTTGCTGAGCTAACGCATTTTTAGACGCGCCGTGCACGTTCAGATTGGACCGGAAAGTAATTTCAAGCGAAAACACGCCTCCATATACTCGCGACAATTTGCTAAAAGCTCCGCCGTTGCAATAAAAACTCAAGAATACATTTCGTTTCATTCGTATTGTCGTTTTCGTAATGAGAGAACGGAACACGTTTGTCATTAGCGATCGCCTCGTTGGATTTCGCTCAATTTCGTCAATCAGCGCTCTAAATCGAAACGAGATACGCAAATTTAAATAATCAACTACCGTTGCCGTAACGTTTAACTTTTCGTAAATCTCACCGCAGGCGTAGCGGATTACATGTCGTTTCCGATACATCACGCATACCAACGTGGCAGTAATTTACACGCATCAGAATTCCGTAGGTTTTCAACCCAGCACGTCGCGAGCGCAAACAGAGAAAAACTGTTGTTTGCTCTCGACGAAATACACAATTATAAATATCTCGACGCAGAACTCATTTAATCGTGATAATTTTCCGCTGTTCCTGCGCGTTTCATGACATTTACACTGTTTCCCCCGTTGCGTTCAATTATTTGCCTCGAAACTTATCGAACGAGTAATCTTCCGCAGTTATACGCATGAATCGTTTCATACGTCATGTTAGGTAATACAAATAATGCTGCCTTTTTGCGCTGATGTTTACAGTTATGGATAATTATAAAATTGTTTCAGCGGCTGTCAGTGAGCGATCCGCTTTTATTAAAAAGAGGGAAAAAAATAACAGAGAAAAGAATCCGCAACGCACAAAGCAGAAAATGTCGATCGATTACATGGCCGCGCAAGAAGAATCCAACATGGAATATGGTTCGAAAAAAGGAATGAAAAAACGAAAATAAAAATTTGATACATACTTCAAAAAGCACAAATAGCACTGAGGCTTTTCACAATCGTCCAAGAAGTCAAGCATCGTCCGCTTTCTTCTCTCTTAATTATTAACGTTTTCAATTAATTTTAGACGCCCATAAGGCTCGAGTCTCTTTGTTTTGTGGTGTGGGGAAAGGTATATAGAGATTATACCCGCATTGGTACAACAAAACCTCGAAAATCATAACTTTGCGGGTTGGATCCTTCCTGCATAACCGTATTCGCTCGTGTTAAACGGACTCGCACGCGCGTGTATTTACATAGAGAGGCGACACTCGAAGGGGACCGCCCCCGTAACAACGTCCGTCATTTCAGCTCCTCCGTCGGCGACCTCGACGGACGTTAGTCCAGCCACGCGCGCTGTACGCGAACCACTTCCGGTCGTAACTTGTATCTCTTTATTTTGTGCCGCAGGATATCATAGCTCACGGGCCGGGAATGGTGTTCCACATCGTAAACCTCGTAGTGATGGTTCTGATGCCGATGGTGGTCATCCACGTGAAGGATTCCGGATTCAGTCTGTGTAAGAGCCATTTTACGTATCGTTTCACTCGCGAATTTCGTGCCCGCATCCACGCGATATTACTTACGTGCCGGCATGGCGGTCGGGATCGATAGGGGTAACGTACGGATGTACGTAAGTAATGTTCTCGAGTTACCCTCGCCTCGCGCGATTGGAATAATACCGCGCCCATGCAGCGGCGGTAAGTGCGAGTTTATGCAGTCACTCACCGCGATTCGAAACCGTTTGGGTATTCGCCAGGGCCCGGCTTATCGCGCGGATCCATTCTTTTCCATGACATCTAATTAATTCCTAAGCGGCCCGCGCATGCGATGTTTCTTTGTCGCTCCCTCTCGTGTACCATCTGTACGTGTCCACGAGCGCATGTAAAACCATCATTCACGAAAGTGCGTTCACGTGGGCGGAAGCTTAGAGCTCGCTCCCGGACTACGCGCGGATTGCTCCGCGTTTTTTTTTGTTTTTTCCTAATTGCGTACCGCCTGCAATTTGTCGAGACACTTGACGAGCGCCATTATTTGCAGTGGATTATATACATTTTCTCCATTATGCGCGAAATTAAAGTGCGCGCCGAGGTATCGCCGAGTTATAAAATAACTGATTTTTAATTGTTCGCCATTCCCACCGTCCGTGGGCACGGTGTCGGACACGTTTTTCACGGCAGAGACCGTGCGCGCCGGCCGTCGTATCAAAAATTCTATTTAAATGCAATACCTATGGTCATCCGCGCAAATCGATGCACCGGCGGCGGGAGAGCGGAGGATCGCGGGGCTCTCACGTTCACATGCAAATGCAATTACTTCGTGCTCTCTTTCGTCCGCACAACTTCATGGATGCCCGGACCATCCGTCTCGCGTTGGCCCGTCAAGACAGCCGGGTTATACCCGATTTTTAATCCGGGATTTCCGCAACGATATGCCGCGAAACGCCGTGCAGCGTCGCGTGTTGTTATCAATGAAATCAGATCTAATCGCAAGACGCCTTGTTTCCCTTTCAGCATACCGGCCGTCATAACGCGCCGCCGTCTGACGAAGAAATGTAATTAAACGGTAACTACGGTCCGCGAGAGCGGCAAAGCGCGGCGCTTGTCTAATTAAAAGAATTTAAATTAATTCCCGGAGCAAACGTACTGGTGGACGTGTGCGGGCGATCGATTCGATAGCCGTGTATTGTCGCGCGCGCGCGCGCGAACGGCGATCTAATTTAGTTTTTCAATCCGAACGATGAATTATCGCAAAGGAAAGTCGGAACTTTATGGAAAATCGCCGGACTTTAATTAAAGGATCTTTAATCGCGCTCGACGGCAGGCGCCGGGCGTAATAAACCGGTGTCCTCCCGCTAATTCCGCCCGATACTGCATTTTTAATGTTCTTTGTCATTTACATACTCCGCGAAACTGCGAGTAAATACTCGTGAAAGTTCCCGCCGATCCCGGCGGGAACCGAGGCCGGGATCGGGTGGGCTCTTTTTGGCATTCGCAAGAACACTCCGGGAGTGAATCCCGCGCATCGGGAACTTTATACGGTTATCGGGGAACGCACCTTCCCCCTGTCGTTCGTCTTCTTTTACGGCGTTCCGTTTCGGCGCAAGCTGCAGGAGCTTTTGATTTCGTCGCGATATTCGACCGTCAGTCGTCTCCGATATAGTCGACGGTAGGCGGGACAGGACTTGCGGATCGATTGTAGCATGGATAAAACGGGGAAATCACGAGCTTGCGAAGAACTCGAATCGTTAGAACTCGAAACGTCGACAAAGGAAGATCTTTTAGTTTCACGGGAGATACAACGGTCTCGTAATATTTAGCTCTCTCTCTCTCTCTCTCTCTGTGTATGTGTGTGTGTGTGTGTGTTTGCGACGAAGTTGAACCAGATGCTTTTTAACCTTCAGCTTCAGTTCTCGATAAATTGCTCGCAGTGAACGTTTAAAAACGTAATACATAGTAAAATATTTTATGTTAATTTTAATGTATTTCACATGTCGTTCACTTTAACTCTGTGTTAATTTCACACAAGGTAAATATGTTCAAAAATAATACAAATACTATAATATAATGTCAAAAATGAATGCAAAATATTATAATGTTTAATTTTGATACTATTTGGAAGCAAATTTTATGTTAAATTGACATATTTATAATATCAGATATAACAAATGTTATTTTCACATTAAAAGAAAGGTTATTTATCATTTCTTTTCTATCGCATTGTTTTTAGAATATTGTCAATGATTTTGGTCGAATTCTTCTTTTATGTACCATATAATTGGTGCAATCAATATCATATTAGAGAAACATGTTTACCACTGATGAGATTCGAACTCCGGGTCTTAAGTCGCCTACCTTACACACTACACTGCTACACGTTAAAAAATTATGTTGAAAGTAGTCCACTGAAATTTTGTTTCACTCTTTGAATGTGTTAATTTAACATAATATTGTATTTGTTAACACATATTTGCATACTTTTTAACATAATTCCCATGTAAATATTCACACATGTTGAACATCGACTCAACACAAAATATTGAAATAACATAAATACGATATGTTAAATTAATACACGTATATTAAATTAATACGCGGGTGTATTGAAAATTTCTGTGTAGAAAAATGTTAACAAGGATCGATTTTAACACAATACAAAATTTTTTCACTGTGTACAAGATGTAGGGCAAACTCGACTGAAATTGAAGACGCACACTGTCGCGTGTTTTTCGATAACGAGCGAAAAAATGTGGGTTCGATCCATCGTTGCTGTTTTTAATCCCGTAACTGTCGAAATTCCCGATACAGATGTTAGAAGCGAATCGTGTTAACGAGTGCTCTGTTAATACACGAGCGTTCGCGAGAGAGAGTGTTGGTATATTAAATCGCGAGTAATTTGTAGTTCGCGATCGGGGAAAGTTTTCTTCTTAGCTCGCAGCCACTATTTCACGCGGCGGAGAACTCTCAGATTGAACAGTAACGGATGACAATGAAACTTCAAAGTTGGATCGAAGCTTTTGAACTTTGACAGGAGAACATATGACCTCCTATCATCGGGGATGCAGTGTAGTCGAAGGTGAAGGATTGTCGTGCTTCAAATTCCGCGAGATTTACTCCGCCGTTGCGCAAAATTGCAAGTGCTACTGTTCTTGCGAACGTTGGAAACATTCGGAAACTCGTTAGCCCAAATAAAAGTAATTAAACGAGTTATCGGATTTCTCCAGGCAACCGTGATAGCTCTCTTACAGCGTGAGCGTCCATAAATGGATTAAATGAGTATATAATAATTTATTGAACGTTACATATAATTATATATAACAATATTCTCATTCGAGAGATAACATGCCGAAGTGTCTAAAGGGAATTAATTACGTCTCATCTCGAAATATTAACACAGAGATGAAAGGCCGGAAAAGTGCCGTTATGCGTTTTACGCAACATCAAATAATTTCAACCGGTGTGAGTTACGATCGAGCGTACGAGCGACGAGAGAGCAAACGTGCAAAAAGTAACGGGCCACCGAGGCCACTGATTGTCTCTGCTGAATGCGTGGAGTGCGACGGGAGGAAGCGGCTTTCGGCCGGGAAAATCGAGAAATCTTTGACGGTGGCCCGAGAAGAACCTTAAGAACCTTATTCCCCTTTTATTTTCCTCCGTAAATCGTCCGGCGGGCATCCTGGGAGAATCGTTGTTGGTGCGAACGCGTCTTTACGCCCCGGCTCGCGTAAAGGCATCAAAACCCCGGTGTCTACGTGAGTGAATACACTTTTGAGTGCACACTCTCGTATACGTCGACTCGCATGTTGAAGGGTCGAGCATCCCGGGTGAAAGAGTGACGAGGAGTGGTACTACTACGGCGGTGCTGAGAGAGGAGAGACTTCCAGTTACATGGGAGAGAGAGAGAGAGAGAGAGCTCGGGTCGTCCGGGCACTTGAACCAAAGCCACCGCTGCACTACTCCTCACTTGCTCGCGAAGCGCGCTGGTCTACGACTACGGAAGTTTTAAGAAGCGCTTAGGCGGCCCAAACTCGTGCGAATCTTTGCCTTTCGCGCTGCTGCGGCTCCCAGCTTCCTCCTACACCCTCTCACACGTCGCCGATATATAAAAGGATCTAGTCGCGCGGTAGCTCCCCCTTAAGCGCCGACATGTACATTGTTCTCGCCGGGACGGAGAGTATCTCTTGATTGATCGTACACTGCGATCTCTTCTTATCTCTCTCGGCCGTTCTAGCTGGGGGTTTTCAGCCCCCGTTCGCGCGCGACGAGAAATACGCACCCCGACGCCGGGAATAATAAACACCCGCCGTGCCGCGCCAGTCGTCGCGGCTAATAATTCCGTTTCAGTCGGAGAATTAATTACACGCCTTCCTACGCTTAACGAGCGCGGCCGATAATTAGAGACGCCGTTTCACAGCCTTCCGTCGATATGGCCGCTAAACGGCTCGTTAAATCTCCCCCCGATTTTGCCCGTCCGTTGTTTCGACATTACGTCGTTTCGCGCACGGCCCCTCCCCCCCCCCCCCCCNCCCCCCCCGCCGATAATCGCCCTTGCCACGCGCACGCTCCGTGGTGCAACGCGGCGTTCTTTTTACTTTGCCCTTTATTTTCTCGGTTTTTTTCCCCCTTCTTTTCCGAGCTCGCGCGCGTCGGACGATTTAATTCTCCCGCTCGGGCTCCTCGTCCGGCCGAATGACGGGGTTAAAACACGCGAGATACTCACGAAAAACAGCGCGAGAACGAGGGGGCACGGCGCGACACGTAGAGCGCAGTGCCATCGACTGCCGTAATTACGAGCGCGATGCGAAAGCATCGACGACCATCGGACGTCGAATTCCGCTCATTCGGAAGCGTTCCTACATCGTTCGACGAGCGTGTCACGAGCTTTTTTTTTCTGTTGATACTGCGAAACGTGACACCCGATAGAAACGTGACATGGACGACCCACGGCCTCTCGATCGCGTCTCTTTCTCTCTGTCTCTCCCTCTCCCCCCCCCCC